CTGAGATAGCTGATAAGTGTCCGGAAGTGGGTCAGTGTAACGGAATAAATCAGATGATATTAAGTAAAAGTGATAATTTTACCCAGGTTAAAGGTTCCTGGTTTTACCGGATAATCTGGTCAAAGAAGGGACTGTGCAGAACTCTAGGAGAGGCTGAGGATAAGGATAACAACCTTGTCGAAAAGAGAGATTGTAGCGGTTTCTATCTGTATCGATTTCCTGAACTGTTTGCTCGTAGTTGTGGTATTGGTGGGACGGGGGATCCCTGGAGACCGACCAGTATCTGCATGGACGATTCTAGAAAATTGTCCCCTATTTGGACCCATCTCATTGTAGCAGTTTCCTGTGCATTGCTTCTTCTGGTCATCGCCTTAGTGGCTTTCTCAGTATATAATCTTAATCGAAAGAATCATATCGGAGAAATGGAAGTGATTCAACTGGATTACAACTCGGAGTAACAAACAAAACCCCTCCCCCCTCAACTAGGAACAAACAATCCTTCTATAGTTCTATCAGGAGAAGTGATCACGTGCAGTATAAAAACTATCACGTGCAGTAACAAACGGTCCCCTAACCATATCACGTGACCACAGTCAATAACAACAGGCGTAACACTAACAAACGCCCCTCTCCCCTTAATTAATGACCCCTGAGTAAGTGCAATGGCTTGGAAAGCTATAAGTAAGCCTTAGTACGGAGCTCAAGCCTTAACAATGCACCAAATCTCAAATAGGGTTAACTTTAGAGGGAGCGAGAGTGTCTCTGGAACACTCTTATTCGTAGTTCCTTCTCTTTGTGTTAATATGATAGATTACATGATAAGTATCGAACAGATCACACTTCACAACACTTGCCTGCCATGATATGACCATGATTGTGGTCATTTTGCACCCCCATTTTGCTAGGTGCCTTCCTGATAGCATATACTTATAGACAGTTTTAAACTTTGTTCGTAAGCGCCTGGAGAAAATGTTCTCCAGTGCCCATCAGATCTACCTTTATAACTCTTTGAGGTGGTTCCTTGGACTATTGATAACACATTCATGCACAGAAAAGCTTGTTGGAAATTATATACCAGAAAATATATTTGGATTGTTAGTAAACCTAGATAAGTACGATCCATATTGAGTCTGATTTTACAGTTTTAATTATAATTTTGAATGTTTAATTCCTGTTTAATTCCTGCTTAATTCCTGTTTGATTCCTGATTGAATCCTGTTTGATTCTTGTTTGATTCTTGTTTAATATGATATCGATGCTGTTATACTAACCATGATAATTCCACTTACCACTTCTTATATTGTTCACTCAAAAGAGGAAGAAGTAACGGTGTACCATATGTGATAAGTTACAAGTAAGAATAGTGGGCAGCCTAGCTAACCTGCAAATGGTCACAGGTTGGAGCCATCTCCTGGGCTAGCTTCTGGAGCTTCTAATCCCTAAGGAATAAGGATTTGAGTTAAATAAAAATTAGGAGAAAATCGATTATGTCCAACTCAAAGCCTTCGAAGAGATGTTTATTCTTTGAAGAGATGCTTATCCAGGTTAATTATTCCATAGCAAACACATAAAACCCACATTTCACTGCAGTAATTCAAATTGGGCAGTCTAATTGGTTTGGCAGGTGCTGCATAACACAGTAATAAATAATGATGTTCTTAACTAAGATACACTGCAATGAAGTGCGAATAATGACAATTTCTCAGTACAAATCATTGATTAGATCTACGTAATTGCAGAGACATTTGCTCGACAATCGACATCCGACGACGGTTGTCTCACTTCTACTTCAAGTGATATCTCAGGACAAGATCCTGCATTTTGCACATTTTGATGGCTTCTGTTAGTGATATCTTGCATTAAAGAGCTCAATTACGGTCCATTTAATTTTAAAGTTTTATACATACAAAATAAAAAGTAAAACCGTCGAACATAATTTTAACTTTAGATTCTGACACAGTCAGGAGGGATGGCAACCATCCATGCCGAATATTTTACAACGGTAATGAATTATTCTAATTTTAAACCAACGCGGTAATTTTAATATTAACTCGTCCAACAATGCATACATAAGTATGAATTTTTATTCTTTTGCGGAAATAGGCTGTGGCCCAATTTCAACTTTGATGAATGACAGGCTTGTCCGATTCACTAAGACAAGATAATATTCCTTTATATTTCCGTCTAGACATGTGGTGGTATCTGAATAGTGATTGGGGAGGTTTTTATTAAGTTTGTGTTTAATTCAATCCTCCAAATCTGAGCCTTTTGGAGTGCCTACCTTAAATACATACCTTAATAATTCAGTCTTAAATTCTTGATATTTGATAGACACAGTATATAGTAGTAGAAGTATACCTAATACTTAGTATTATATAGTTGCCACGATGGCAATTCGGTAATCTGTCGGTGGACACAAAACGCACGGTTAAGGCACGGTTAAAACACGGTTAAGGCATAATGGTTACTAAAGCGAAATATGTCTTTTTACGTTTAAAAATATTTGTTTCACTAACGAAAATATAGTCGTTTCATTTTATTATTATTTTGATTCACAATTCAATTTTAGAAACAGAATTTGAAGGTTTATAAATTTATTTAATTTTAATATTACAGTAATTATTATGTGACAAAACTTAATGCATAATTTTAATGTTTAAGATTTTTATTAAATAAAAGTTCTTAACTAAATTTAAGGCCCTTCTTTCATGCCTAAAGGGCCTTTTCACAAGAATTTTCTTAAAATTTGGGCGAGCGATTTAGTAGGAGCGCTTAAATGCAGCCGGTTTCGACTGGGCGAGTTCATGCTTTTGCACCGTTTATACGTTTGCAATTCAACTGCGATAGTGAAGTCCCTGCCGAAGGCACGGGATACACTAGTATATTAATATACCAATAATAACTTTAACTTGTTATCAAAGTTAGTTAATATGATTATAAGATCGTAAGCGAGGTCCTCGCCCATTAATTTACTTGTAATAACGAACAAGTTAATTTTATTTATAATAAATAAGCGGATCGTTTGCGCAGCTGGGTACAGGTTGGATAGTGTTAGCTTACGCCTTACGGATCTGAAACATAGCATGTCAAAATGCAGCTCTATCAACCGTGCATTAAGTGTCCGTTCCTCACTGTGCCTTAAGTTTGCCGTTCCTCACTGTGCCTTAAGTTTGCCTTACAGTTGCTTTAACCGTGCCTTAACTGTGCCTTAACCGTGCCTTAACCGTGCGTTATGTGTCAATCGACAAATTACCGAATTGCCGAAACGATTTGTTTTTAAATTATGCAATTGCCACCGATTTGGTTGTCTTCCGATATAACAGTCCATTGTCTCGCATTTGTGGTCGTTTGTATCCGTGTGAGTATCATATTAGAAACTATCTGATAGGAAAATAACGGCAGCAATGTCATTAGCGTCCACAATTTCTTAATGACGCTTTTCACATTTTCAGTGCTGTGGTTTTAGTAGTTGCAATATCAGGGAAAAGATACAAAATGCATTTTAACACGCCCGCGCCCTGAGATCTTTTCATTTGCTTTAGCTTTATTTTAGACTATCCAATTTCGCACTAAGTTCTACCGAAGAGAAAGAGAAAGTGCTGTGTCAGAATGAACATTGAACATTAAGTTCAAGCAAGAAATAATGAATTATTTTCTGTCATTAATCCTCCCAAGAAAAGGCCGCCACCAGAACCCAATACCTTCATCAGGGGATTGCTCGATTCTATTGTCCCTTTCATGTCAATTAATTAGAGTTCATTCTTAAACATTGAGGGATCTTGCAATAGCAAAGCATCTGTACTACCACGGATTTAATTAATGTTTGGGTTTGCCCATTGTTTCTACTCTCGGGATGAAGCAATATCTATCAGTGCGAATAATGATATAACTTCTGGCAATACTAATATCAATAATAATTGCTGACCGATATCTGACGCCCTAAGTTTCAGTTTTTCAGCTACTGTTCGTCCTACAATCTACATATGGTCGCAAGCATCTACAAGTAATACTATAAGTCATATTAGACACTGCTGTTTTTATCACAATATAGATGGTCTTTGACGTTGGATAAATCTAATGGCTGTCCCCTGAGACTCAATTCAAATGCATTTTCATCTATTATAACCGACTTTACCGTGCCAGCTCCTCCTACTGAATTAAGTTTTTTTAACTCAAAGCAGCAGAAACTTGAGAACAGGCCTGATCATGATATGTGATAGCAGGCGTTGATTCCCCCAAAATTTGAAATCAATCACCACCTATCACGTTGATTGCTGGTGTCAAATTCAGTAAAAGTAATACTAATACAATTTATTTGCATTGGGAGTTTAAATCAACATAGAAATAACATCAACATGGACACTGGGAAACTCTAAACACTAAAACTGTAAAATATTTATTGTAAAAAATCGTTCTTACTCCACAGTGGAAATCGAAATACGCGAATTTTCGGCGACAAATACGTTTGCGTATGCATACGTTTGCTTGAAACGCTACGCATTTAACAGCATTGTTACTGCCATAACCACTCCAAGCAAATTGTATATCTTGGAGAATTATCAGAGATTGTGATAGCCCCAAAATACTTTTGAGCCATTATATCGGGCTATGACTTTATTAGTAATAGGGCCCATATAACATGAAATTATACCGTCAGTTATTTTCATCGCAACACGACCGGGCGTTCACGATTTGATGGCACCATCGTCGTTTTACTGAATGGTGCTAATTGCTGATGGCGATTGCTCGAGTTTCGTGTGATGTATTTTATCCCAAATATCTCAATCTCATAGGTCGTAGTTTTCCGGCCTTTTGATTTTCCGGTACAAACTGTTTCCTTATTCTCTAAATCTACAAAAATGGAAACATTTTTGCAAGCGTCATCTTGGAAAATCGTAGATTGAATTCAATTTTTTTTCTATTTTGAACCGAATTAGAACCGAAATTAGACCCCAGATTCCCTTGCCTTGCGTCATGCTACTGACACTGTTACATGCATAATTTAAAATTGCAACACATACCTAATCTTCTTCTGACCTCAAGACTAAAAACAGCCACTACAACCGGTACTTCCCGCCAGTAATATAAATGATGTCAGAGCTCCCACACTCGACACTATCACCCTGTCACTATACAATTTAACAACTTGTCGCAGACCCTCATTTTATAATTTTATCTCAGCTGCTGAACAATACGCCCTGCTCTATGTAACGTGCCTCTTAAAGTTATAAATATAATCCAGGTCGGACCACGAACCCACTAAGTAGTGACCACTTACCCAACCAGGTGCCCATTATCGCTGTTTACCTCTACACAGAGTCTGTCCGGAAGTTAACCCCCTGTATTGACGGTGGATTAGTCTCCGTTTTCATTAGCCTCTCATGTCTCAGGCCGAACATTCGTCCTTCTGAGGAAGTTTTTGTCGACCTCTTGTCGTACCAAAATCTCTTTGTAGTGATGTGGTATATGTTGCAATCACCGGTTATTAGTAGTTTTGGAGCTATTAGTAGGTCGTATGATCGTTTTACGGCAGCCATTTACGCAGTTTGATACAGTCGAGCACTTTTATTTGGAGTCTCGTGATAAGGTCGCGGTTGAATTAGCAACATTTGTGATTGCGTTTGTTCAGAATCCGTTTAAACTGTTTTCTATTCTCTTCTATTATTAAAGCACCGTCGCTATTCTGAGTCTAAACAGATACATCAGTTACGGAGAACAAATTAGTCTTTGTATCAATTCAAAACAGTGCCATACATATTAGCCTAAAGGGTAATGAGTAAAACAGTCCAAGAAAACAGGCAAAATTCTAGAAAATGCATTTAAATCTCTTTCGTTCAAAATACGACGAAGTTTTAATAACTTGATTTCAAATTTTTATTAGAGTTAGAAACTAAATATTCAATATTACCCATGCAATTTTTCAGATCGATCAGACCATTCAAACTTTCCCAATACAGCGCTTATATTCTAAATCAGATATTGGATGCACGGACCGTACAGCACGGTATTAGATGGGATACCCGCATAGATCATTACCTGTCGGGTTCATACTTAAAATTGTTCTGCTTCAATGACTGCCGCTTACTTGGGGAATAGACTTTAACTACGAACAGCAGTACTGTCCGTTAAATTTTGTGGTCTACCAATGTTTACGGCCCTCAGATCAACTTTAGATCAGTCACGTTACAAACTTTTTGAATAAATATTTTAACAAAGTACTCAGCATGCCACTGCTATTTTTGTTTTCCTATTTACTGTGCAAAATAAGCAGAGTTCGCCGCGATTTACCGGAACTTAAAAGCAGATCAGTGGTCAAAGAAAATCAAGATCGCTCAGATATCAGTAACCTTTCAAGATTTAGTCAATATTGATTTCAACGGCCACCATCGATTTGTTTAAACGATTAACCGACAAGACTAATCATTATTTTGACTTGAATTCTACATTGTTCTAGGCGGTTTTTTTAGTCATAACATGATCGATGTCAATATGAACTCTCAAATCAATTCATTTCTACATATGCATTTTATCGATCCTTTCAATCTCGGTTTCTATTCCAATCTTTGAATACGGCACAGTAACTGTAACTTAGCATATTTGCTAGAGAAAGTATAAAGCTAAGGCTATAAAAGATGCAAAGGATTGAGCTATGATGGACCACGACATTTCTCTTCATGATACTGATAATATCTCCTGCAGTGGTAACCTGCACTTGATCCTTCAGAATGGGTCCCAGCAATTACTCCTCTACAAACCTCTAGGTAGTTTACCAGACAACATTTATCTGATTTTAGCTCTAAATACATAAATACAACCTAGGAATCTATTATTTATGAACCATATTAATAAAGATGTTAACACTTCACGACTGATCTGATAACCTTCCGTGATCCGCAGAATACACGCTGGGCACTGTACATCTGGTGTTAGGACTGTTATCAGTAACCTGTAACTCGATAGTTATTTGGAACTATCTGAAGGAAGGCGGTTTTAAAAATACCTGCTACTTTCTCTTCATCAATTTAGGCATGTTATAAACTTGTTTACTTAGGTACAAATACCTGCTACTTTCTCTTCATCAACTTAGGTATGTTATAAACTTGTTTACTTAGGTACAAATCAACTAACTTTGGAGTTTTCCTCACATGATGATCACCTCATTGTATAGTTCCTCTCATATCACACTTCTTTAACAATTTAAAGGTACATCTAACTTAATTGAATTGTATGAATTGTATGAATTGTATGAATTGTATGAATTGTATGAATTGTATGAATTGTATGAATTGTATGAATTGTATGAATTGTATGAATTGTATGAATTGTATGAATTGTATGAATTGTATGAATTGTATGAATTGTATGAATTGTATGAATTGTATGAATTGTATGAATTGTATGATAGTTAGTTAGTGATTAGATACAATTTGTATATAATCACTAACTAACTACTAACTAATATCCATCTACCTATTTGCAGCTATAACGGACACAATCACGGGCTTGATCGGGTTCCACAAAGGATTCCACTTCTTCTATCTCCGAGAATGGTTCGACAAGGGTCTGTTAGATGATTTCCTGTGCAGACTGTTCGCTGGTATGCAGAGTTTAACTACTTTCTAACTTTCTATTCTATTATTTGTGCTGAGTTCGATTTAAAGTTGGAATAATAGTTATCATTCTTTGTTCTTGCATATTTTTATAGTGGATGTCTATTCATTTTTTGGTCGTGGACCTCTCTCATTCTGTTATTTGGAATACAGTGAGGTAGATACGTTTAAATTTAGAGGTAAACTCATTTACTCTCAGTACTGCTAGCGTGGATGCCCTCAGCTACATTAGTGAACCTAGCTTTAGCCTCTCTGATTCGAGCAGTAGCGATAGTTAGACCGCTACAGTACAAACGGATCATTAATATTCGAACTACGTGGCTACTGGTCATCGGCTGTTGGGTAAGTACTAAGTTATTTAATAGTTTGTATTATTGAAAGACGATAGACATCATATACAAACCGTCATATACATACCGTCATATACATACCGTCATATACATACCGTCACGATATATAGTTTAATATATACATGAATGCCATCTTCAAGCAGAAGCAAGTTTGAAAAATATCTATATTATCACATTTGTTATTCGTGTGGTTTACCTCGTGATAATTCGTGCATGCCTGAAATCTTACAACCGAATTCCCGCAGATGTTCACATTGGTGTCATATTGTATCCTGCCGATTCTGTTTGCTGAGTTCACTTTCAACTTCTTCTGGGCAAGTTGTCAGTACACATGGATAGCTCTGACTCATGAGGCGTATGATGTTCTGGAGACTGTTCTCATGTACAGCCCTCTCTTAATTCTCATCTTCTCCAATGTTACAACAGGTAAATTGTCTGCCATATTTTCTAATAAAAACTAAACTGAGTGATTTTGTTTTTAAGAGATTTTGTGCTTCCACATAATCTTTCGATCACTCATGGATATTTAAAATATATTTTATCTCCTAATAGTAATACTAAGCACGTTATTACCTAATTTCCCTTCCAGGCTGGCACTTGTTCTACAACGTTGCTCCTTCACAACGCAGCAACTCAATTGTCTTGAAAAAGATAATATCGATGACAATCTCCTACCTGTTAGTATACTCCTTTGTCATAACATATGACTTAGTAATGGTTTTACGGACTATCGGCTACGACAGTGCATTTCATGAGACAATCGGGAAACTAGAATGCAGTCCGAGGATATTTGCTTATATTATAAACTGGTACGATTTGAGCATGCTCATCAACAGCAACATGAACCCACTCATACACCTGATTTTCGGGAGGGAGTTCAAGAGACAGATCACTAAACGAGTCTCGACTGTCTCGAGAAAAGTCTCAAATGCGGTTTATTTTAACCATAAAAGAAAAAGTTTGGCTGAACTGAATATTATAGCTGAGGAGGGTGGACTAGTCCATGATAGGAGGAGAATGATCCGAAGAGCGAATACTTTTTTATGATTTCGGCATAGCATATTAAGTTGAATAAATTAATATCTTTATCAACCATGTACATTGTACGTCAATACCATAGTACGTATAAAATCTTAAGTTGGCATTTAGATTAATTTTCAATATTTGGCAGAATGTGGTCAGGTTTATCAAGTTCACAGTCTTAACTTATTATGAGTTACAAATACAATTCTTCTCATTATTTAACGGATGATAGTCGTCTAAATATTTCTGTAATTAAAATAAAAGTGATACAAAATATCTGAGACTACAAAATCGTAAATCGTTCATAATAACATTAACAATTATAAAATTAAATCTAATGAAGTATATAAATGTGCGAAATCTTTTAATTTGTTTAATACGCCAAACATGTGTTTGTATTTAAACGTTCTCCCCTTCTCTGAGAATAGAACAACGACACAATAAACTCGAGCACGTGATATTTGAAGATAAAGTGTTACCAGGTTATCTTTTGACTCTCTCATCTCCTGCAGCACAATTACTGCTGGCCACTCAGCTGAAAAACAATCTGCACCATCAAAAAGAGCTATCATGTCTTTCGTGTCACATCGTTTTTCAAGATTTTGAGAAACCAGATTCATTAGATCAGTAGTGATATTGTCATGAACTATGCATACGTCAGAATTTTTCAATACGTCTCTCCCACAAAGTTTATTCAATTCATCGTTTATGATATTGATTGTCAATGGGTCGTTATTAGTCTTCAAGATATGCACCACAGTTTTGGGGCCATGAATGAAATGGCCGGGTTTCTGTTCAGGTAGGACCATGTTTAAAGCATGCAAACTGTCAGAACAGAGTCCTGGACCTGTGTAGTATCCAACAAACTCGGCTCTAAGTATCGATAGGATGTTTGATAGATCGTAAGTATTTCTTAAATTTTTAGATACAATTTTCAATTGGCTCACCGATAAATGTTTAGCTAATGAACTAGTTAGGTTGAAGATATCCTCGTCTTGATTAGCAAACCAATACTGCGCAATGTCGCAAGCTATGCGAACAGTTTTAGATCGTGATAGTTCCAGCAGCGCAGCACACAGATCATCGTATTGTTCTGGTGTTTCATCGTATTCCATCAAAATCTGAATATCGTCAACGAACACGTGATAACCGTGCAGCAAGCGGATTGTCTCCGTGAACCACGTGAGATTAACATACCCTGTTACTATCAAGATGATGACACGAACTGATGATTTTCCTTCCGATATTTGGAAGTGTAGATTTGAGGGTGTGTGTGTGTCCTCTGACACATCGCAAATTTCCAAATATTTTATGTCAGCGTTATTGAATCCCTCCTGATACAGTGAACAAGTGTTACTCTGCCCACAAAATCGGAATAATACTACCACATCAGCATCATTAGCTTGGACAATCTGTATAATCTTTCCACACAAGATAACGGTTTTGCCAGCTCCTGCGGGTCCATTGATCCAAAGTAAATGTTCACTTGAATTAAACAAGCTGGTTTGCTGTAGAGTTAAGTTTGATACCCCAACGCAGTCTTTGATTACTGCAGGGGCTGAGATGACATTTGGGTTTTTACCTCTGAAAGTGAATTTTCCACTTCGTAATTTTTCACTAACGGTGACAATACACTGGGCCAAACTACACTTTTCTTTGTCAAACTTGTCCTTATCAGTACCCCAAATCGCAAGCAACATGTTTCTTGCTTTCTCATGTTTGTTGAGCAACTCTTCTTGTGAATCCTCTTCATCCAATATGACAGATCTAATGTTATTCTTCCGCCATACACTGAAACTATTAATTTCTTCGTCTGTTAGACAGAAATCTTTTGTTTTTTCCTCCTCGTCAGAACTTTCTTCTTCGCTTGTTTCCTTTTCAGAACTCCCTTCAACACCCTCTTTAAAACCACCTTCTAAACGCTCGTCTGCAGTTTCTTTTTCTGCTGTTCCTTCTGATCGGTCTCCAGTCATCTCATCTTTATTCAAATCACTCTCAGTTTTTTCTTCTTCTGTTTCTTCTAACAAGGTCCCTTCTTGATTGCAGTTAGTTCGGTCAATGGTGCACCACTCTCTTTGAGATACATATCTGCTCTTTGGTGGCGAATCTTGATTGTCAGTTTCGACTTCCAAAATATCCGTAACGAAATTTACTTATTTTTCCTCTGCAAGTTTTATAAGATCCTCTTCAAAAATTATCGAAGACATTTCTGCATCCGTCAATTGAAACTCACTCTGGAATTGCCTGCTAAAATTTGGATACGCAGTGAAGTGAAGAACGGTAATATTTTCATCGATACAGTGAATCAGTTCCTCCATTCTTTTTCTCTGCTCCAGCGATTTGTGAAAGGTTCCACCCAAAGCTTGCTGCTGCTTTGCTCTGTTAATTTCACACTCCCCAACTTGGTTAATTTTAGATCCATCAACTGTTTCTTTCACTCCAAGAGACGCCATGTCTTTTACTTCAATAATTACAGCATAGTTCTTGCCCAAGATCAAAAAGTCACATTCCCCTTCTTTGTTCGCAGCCTTTTTCCCTTTACACTTTGGACACCCTTTCCGGACATGAGTTTGGTTACACAAGCGATATTGGTGGTGAGTATACTCGAAGTTATGGAGAACAATGAAATGGTCGTCAACTTTTTCCAGAGCACAGTAAACCCTGACTTCAGCTTCGTAGTTTGACTGTAGTTGTCTGTCGTTCTTGAAATTAACTCCAGTATGATCTTTGTTTGGATATACATCAATGAAAGTTTGTTATGGGGCTCTTGGAAACATGATTGGGGTACTTTCGGTCGACAAACAAAAAGTTTCGAAGATTTCCTTTCCATTCTTTAAATATTTGTCCATTGTCGGATGTCTGAAAATAAAATTGCATTGATTGAGACTTTCTCAACAAATGCCACACTAACAGGAGACAATGCGCACCCTGACATCCGTGCCAGGGGATTCTATCGGCCGGGACAGAACTCCTATTTCGACATAAAATTTCTCAATCCCAATTCTGAGTCTTATCTCTCATCATCAACAGAAAGAATATACGAGAGAGAGGAGACTCAGAAACGGAGGTTATAATATAACGAGAGAATTCTAAATGTCGAACATGGGAGTTTTTTCCACTGGTGTACTCTGTCATGGGTTGTAACAAGCCAGAAGCAAGGACATTTTTTAGATTATTGCGTGAGAAAATATTTCATAAGACTCAACAGAACTATTCAGATGTCGTTAATTTTTAAAGATGAAAATCATCTTTTTTATCAGGAAGCTGGTTCTCCTGTGTATAAGAGGAACCAGATTCATTGCCAATACAGTTGACAAAAGTTGTGAGAGTGACTTTGAGTTTGCATGCTTTGTATCAAAGCTTAGTTAACTAAGAGTCCCACAGAATCAATGAATTGATGATAAAAAATCATATTAATGTTATATATTATTCTATTTGGTTTTTTTTTTAATTAATTGATTTAACGTTAAGCAATTCGTTCAGAGATTTGCCAATTTTATTTGAAAACAAACGTCTATTACGTACTTGAATTGAATGGCATAGGTAAACTAGTACAAAACGACAAGACGAAGGAAATTATATTTGATAGAAACAAGAAATTTACGGAAAATAGAACGATTTGACAAACTGGATAAACTCAAAGGACAGTAGGTTTGCAAATTTTGTTGTGTAATGTGTGGTAGCAACAAGCACGGATCCTGTTACAATTCTATATGAGTATCGATATATATCAACTCATGAGTCATATACAATATACATTCTCTACTCATAGAATAACTCATAGAACAACATATAATATATATATATATATATATATATATATTTATGTGACTGAGTGATCAAATCAGGTGGAAAAGCTCTACATATTCGTTATTTAATACGTGTAAGATGGTGCATTATCATATTTTGATTCACGATGTCAATCCTTCGCAGCTCGGTGAGGCACAGTGGTGCATCTCGCCGATCTACCGAAGGATTGATGCATAACAACAAGACACGCGCTAAAGACGCGCATTTTCTGAGTGATGTTAACGATAGCTTTAAATTCACTGATGTCATTATTATTCAGCGTGACCGGTAATAGTTTAAAAATCAGAAGGAGAAAACACATGTTTAAATTACTAAAAAAGGAGTATCACTTTACAGGATTGAATTTAAATATAGTCATAATAGATAAGAGAGGAATTTGTTTCCCTTTGAATCAATCAAACTAGATGAATTGTTGTAAATACTTAGATCAAACTATCAATCTACAGGCTATCGTCAAACATGTTGCAAGGCGTCATCTTCAGTGACATAATAGATAAGAGTTTATTAACTATCATGCCAACTTTAGAGACGGTAACCACATTAAACTAAAGTTTTCCCAATCAAAATAAAGGGTTTATACAAAATAAAAGGTTTATGCACTAGACTGCGAGACAATTAACCTTATGCAATGCAGGTTAGTATAACTATAATATCGGACTGAGTTGAAATTTCTGAGAGCATGATACCCCAAAATAAATATATGCCTGTGTCTGGCAATAGCGTTCAGATGGCTTCCGAACTTGTGCGGATAAGATAATATAAAAAATACAAATAAACTATAATAACAATCTGAAAATTAATGTATCAGTACAGATCTTATACTCGAAATCAGGCACTTTCAAAACATTTCTCTTAAATTATCTTTCTTAACACCGTTCAATTGTAACTTTAAATTAAAATATTATGATGATCCGGACGATGATAAATATTTAATTACAACTGATTATATTTATGGATTTCGGCCTGTCGATGCTGGAAGCTGATCAGCTAATCGTTAATCGTTACCATGTGACAAGAATAGTATGATGAACCTCCCAATCAGTATCTATGTATCAAAAGAAAATATTGATCTAATTCAACTCGTCGGGAGCCCTTTTGAAACATCTCGAAGTTAGAGTGCAGAGTGCATGATTACTGATTATCAGCACGATTGGGTGAAACAAAGACGAAACCGTGTGTTGATTAGAATTAAAAGAGGAAGATATTTAGTGATAAATTGTGCACTCTTGCATTTAAGTTTTAATTGTTAGACTTGTTCGATGTAGGGCCTTTAATTTAACCTAATACTAATGCAGTTACTTAATACTTGGTAAGTCTAGGGAAAACAGGTGCTAGTTGTCGGAAATGAAAT